TCGAGAACGTAAGAGAGATTTGCGGGCGCGTTTGCGGAATTTATAGTGGCGAGGAAGGAGACAAGGGAGAGAGAATGCAGGGGGAAAGTCGAAGTGTAGGCAAAGAAGCAGGAGGAGAAGACTTTGGGAAGAGCGCTGCGTGGAAGCCATGTTGATCCCTCGAGACTCAAGGTTCAACCAATCAGATTCGTTGTGCAATAGGAAGATCCTATTGATCGATGTATCTGATTGGCGAGCGGGAGTCATCGAAGGATCGACCGGGCGTCGTGTGCTGAGTTCGGAGGGTGAGAAGAAAAAGGCGCGAGAAGTAGCGCAAGACGGGTCCAAGATTCAGACGATCAAGAAAGGGAAAATGGGCGCGCAAAGAGTAGAGCGGGAGAGAGAGAGAGAGGAAGAAAAACAATTACGAGGAGAGAGGAAGAGGAGGGGGAAGGAAAAAGGAGCGCGGGAGAGAGCGATGCGGGGGACAGAGAGGAGAAAGCTTTGCATGCGTGGCGCCGTCAACAAAAAAAGAGGAAAAGGAACCGAAACAATTACAGCTTGCCTACATCCTAAACGAATTCAAAATTGAAATCACCATATCCGCGCGCGAAAGAGCGACGCGGTAAAAGAAAGTCCTACGCCTATTTGTATCCCCACAAAATTCCGAGAGGTTTCCCCAACGCGACAGAGAACATTCACACACAAAAAGGACACGTCGAAGTTCCGCTTATCCCGGAATTCCAACTGCCAGGCCCAATTCCTAGTGCGCTCGCTAAGGCGCACGTAAATTCCCATGTATTTCCCGAATTGCAAAAAGAAAAAGCAGAACCCGGAAATCGTAAAAGCTTCTGAAAGATGGGGGCCCAAAACGCGGCATCCGAAATCAAGAAAACGAAACGGGTTTTTTATGGGGTTGGTATGATACAAGCAAAAAGGGTACGAAAGATAGCACGGGTTCGGGAAGTAGTTCGTCACATGTCGCCAGCGGCCTGGTAGCGCCGGTCTGGGCCGATACTCCCGGGTGGGTTGCGAGGATTGTGAGTTCCCTCCTTGACTGATCACTGGGTAGTGGGTGGGCCCGCTGCACCGCCAGTAGGGCTGACCCCGGCGCGGGAAGCCCTCTGTCGGACGTCCTCCCTGGGTCATAACCCCCGACACCTCTACAACCCTTTTTAAGACAAATTGTGAAAGCGTGAGTGGTGGATGGCACAGTGCTTAGGGCACCGGTTGGAAATGCACATTGTGGTCTGAGGTTGCGGGTTCAAATCTGCAGCCTCGTGCATATGCCGCCGGCAAGGTGTTAGGTTGACGCACTACCACTGACACACTGAGTGCGCATGCTCCCAGGGGTACGATGTTCGCATGGTGCGGCAACAGGTCTGAACTGGGGATGCACCCGCCAGGGTGCCCATCAGTCGCTGACCCCCAATAGCGCATTCTGATCCCCGTAATGGTTGAACGTGTGCCTCCCCTTGGGGTTGTTGCAGTCCATGGGGGGAGACGGCTCCGGGAACGGGCAGGCGCAGTGGTGAGTGTCCGGGAGGTATGAAAGGTTCGCCCCCTTCACAGCAGTGGATTCTTAACCTTCCCCCCACGCCTGGTGTCTGGATGCTTGAATTGCCTCTCCAAATATGGTTCTCAGGGTTCCATTCGACAATCAAGAGCCAACTGAAGAGTGCCATACGGTACTCCCTCGCAGTACAAGATGGTTGGAGAACCAATTGCGCACCCTCTCGTCCCCTACTGCCAGTTTGGAGATTTGTGAGGGTTGCTTGGTGACAGGGAGCCGTTGTCCAAAAGCAGACAACAATCTTGGCTTCCTACCGATGACATCCCAACCCAACAATCAATCCTGGCAAGGATATCATCAAAATGGTCCGGCCTGACATGGATGGCAACTATGACATTGAACGAGTAGAGGACCAGGCTGAGCTATGAATAGGCGGAGGGGCCAACCCAATTAACAGCTTAGGGTACGATGGCAGTACCAAGAACCGGAAGAGGATAGGTGGTTCCCTAAGCAGCAATTGAATGAGACTGCGCCCCACATTGTATTACACTAGGAACAAGCACATAGGGGAATATGTGAATTGACAGGTAAAACTGTAACTTTCTTAGAGGACCTCGACATTAGGCCGGTGGAAGAGGAAGGATTCACACACCTCGGAGCTCGGTTCCGGTACCTTGCCCCTATTTCCTGCTGTGCCATAAACCGTCCATGTAGCCTCGAGCTAGAACATTTCGGTAGCTATTGTAAAGGCAGTACAGAAAACGGTAGAAGAAAGTCCGTAGAGTCTGTAGTCCATAGAAGTCTGTAGTACTCTGCAAGTGTCGACACTTCAGTACTTTCCACATGTCAAATCCCCAGTCAAGTTGCAGCTCAGTTCGAGGAAAGTCCTATGACAGTCCAAATCATTGCCTGCCGCGGCCTAGGCTGAAGGGGCCGTCATCACAAGTCTAACTTTGGACTGCAGCGCAAACAGAAGTCACGACGCAGCAAGGGTCAACACTTTTTTACCTTCGTGAAGCACAGCTGCACTATTATGCGGCCTGTCGAGAAAGGGAGAGGGTAGTGAGTTGGGTGTAGTCATAGTCAGTGGCATCCAGCATCTCAGTTGTTAGGGGAGAGAGACTGAGGAGACATTCAGAGAGAGAGAGAGAGAGAGAGAGAGAGAGAGAGAGAGAGAGAGAGAGAGAGAGAGAGAGAGAGAGAGAGNGAGAGAGAGAGAGAGAGAGAGAGAGAGAGAGAGAGAGAGAGAGAGAGAGAGAGAGAGAGAGAGAGAGAGAGAGAGAGAGAGAGAGAGAGTAAACATACGTGTTTCCCATAGCTGGTGCTGGCAGCCATCACCGCTGTATGATAAGAGGCTTACTGTACCGTTTCTTTTTTTCCCCCAATAATAAACAGGTCCTTATGGCCCTGGCTCCCATTCTGGGGAGTATCAGTCCGGTCCCTATTCCCCCAGTAAGTCGCAACAGATACGATATGACTCACACCACGCTTCCTTCCATCTGGCCAAAGGAGCCTGACTGGCATTGCCTGTGCCACTGGGTGGAGGATTGACTGTCAGCTTGTCGTCCTTCAAGATTTCTCTCAGACTCAGAGATACATCAAGTTCTGAGATCAAACCGAGATTCTTGATGGGCTGGCATCGGGCCACCCCCTTCCAAAGACATTAATTTTCCATTACCGGTCTTGCTGTCGCTGACAGCATCCTTTCCTGTCACAAGTTGTACTTAGGAAGTTTAGATGTAACAATGCTCTCCGACAACAGTCCACCGTCCTTTCATTTCTGCCAGTTGACTTCTTGATTATATAGGCCCCCCAGGGTCTTGTAGATCCAGTTCCTGGGAGTTTTATATTCCTAGCGCGGTATCAGAGTTGTGCCAGTCCTTCCCACGTAAGCTGAGTCCTTGAATGTTATCCACCTTGCCGCTTGCGAGCCAGACAGCGTAGAACTTCGCCAGCATTTCCTGTTCGGACTACAGACTGTTCTGAACTGAGATGTTAACTTTCCTCCATTGACACAGTATCTCCGCCTTAATCATGATCTTGGTGGACGCCCAAGCTCGGTCACATGGATTCTTGATGCTGTCAAGAATTCTGCAGCGTCTTTCCTTCCATATGGCCGATAGAGTTGTGTTGCATATCATTCCAAACAATACCCTTTCTATTTTGCCAAAGTGGGTGGGAGTGTTAGTCCAAAGAGACCTACTCTTCCTAATTTTGAATACTCCTAACAAGTTCCGTGTGCTTGCAAACTATGAATCTGGCTGGGTTTCGAGTGAAGGTGCTTCATGTTGCGTATTAGGCAGGTGTAAAATCCAGGTTCATAGCAATTTCCACGAAGAGAACAGAAAGGCTCTCTATTTTTCAATAATTTCATGATGGTTGATGATAATTGGATAAACGTTTTGTGCTGTTTGTTTGGTACTTGTGCAGCCCAAAAGCTATGCCTCAACCAGAGGGCGTGCCTGGTTGAACAATGTGACTCTCATGAATTACCCCGGGCGGGGGCTGTGTGGTGAAACCATGAGGGCTTTCCAAACCAATAGAAACTCACCTGATGCTTTTCCTTATCACGAGTTGTCAAACATTAAGTTTCAGCAAGTTGCTGATTCTGCAAAGATCTATATTCATCAACCTAATCCAATGTGGAGAAATCCAAGTGATTGCTGGGAAATGGATTGTGATGGCCTGCTCAATGTGATGATGCGGGATCTGGATGGCAGCGTTACTGGTAAGTAACCACTTTCACGTCTCTTCCATCTGTGTGCTCACTCTTTACCAATCTGTACAAGCACCACATGTTTTGCAATTTTTTTAACATGATTTGTTTGTACCATTCAACGTCATGAGATGGGTACGACGTTGAATTCACAAGTGCAATGATCCTTCCCAATTCCCAATGCAAAACTTAACTTTAAGAAAATGCCAGCCTCACCGCCACTCAGCACGGAAATGAATAAATAAATGGATGGGGAAGTCGCCATAGAGTCATGTGCAACGAAAATGAGCAAAAGCGGAATGACAGAACTCCAGATTGCAAAATCACAATGAAAGCCAGATAGTCGAATGCTGTCCAGAGAGCAGAAATGCACTGATATGACACTGATGGACAACCAAAGCAGCGAACTCAATTGTCAATGAAAGCATATGCTTGCCACCACCAACAATGCAATCGAAGCTCCTCCTCCTATCGGCTCTCAGTGCCCAGACTACGATCATGCAGCTACTCTATCCTAACTATACAGTGACGAAGCAACCAGTTGACGTCAGCAGCAACAACCGAAGTACATGCAGATGCTGACCATGCAGACCATCACCAAGACCAGGTACGTGCCCTCACATCATCATCCTCATCTCTCTCTCTCTCTCTCTCTCTCTCTCTCTCTCTCTGTCTCCACTATGCCTGTCTCTTATACACATCTAGATGTGTATAAGAGACAGACATTGTAGTATCTGATGAATGTGTATCTTGAAATTGGCCAGGATCATAACATCTCTCTCTCTCTTGTCTTCCTCATCCACGTCTCCCCTCACACGAAGAAGACCACCACCTCCGCTAGCTACAACCAAGCCCAAGCCCGGCGATGGGGCTGGGTTATAGCACTGCCTTTATGCAGCGCCCTGCTTCACACGTGACCGCACTCACGATAGCACACCTAGTGCTAGCAGGCAGGCGCGAGCGCACGCTCCAGCAGCACCACCGCTTGCACTAGCAAGTGCCCGAATGCCCACCTTGTAGCCCGGCCCTTTCCTATATGGAAAGTGGCGGGCTCGCTGCCCATAGCCTGCCTCGTGGGACCGAGTCTCCAGTAGCTTCGGCCAAAGTGTCTGCGCCCAGGCCCGTTCAGACAGTGGCCTGGGACCGAATTGGTTAGGCATGCCCAACCACCCAGGCACAAACATGCCGTGTTCCCTGCTTTCACCATGTTGGTAGAATAGCCTGGAAGGCTCACGAATATTTCAGATTCTCACGAGCAAGGCAGATGTAACCAACTGGCGCGTGGCAACTGTCTGGCGCCCACCAAGATTAGCAAAAATTGATGAATTCAGGGCTTATTCGAATTCAGGGCCCGGCCTTCACTTAGGGCGGGCACAGATCTGTTGCCGGGGCCTTATGCAGGTATGCCGAGGGGTAAAATCCTCGCACTTCCTCCTCCTTTACTTTGAGAGTCCCCTGAGAAGTCCTTATACAGCGGGCTGCTTCCCTTTCAAAGATCTTTCATAACTTGAGATAATCTGTGGAGCAGTCGTCATAAGTTCTTCTCTGGTAAACCACCTGTCTTCTTTTGGAGCGACACGATGTCTGAACTGCACTCGATACTGCATCTGCGGTTTCGGAGGACGTCCCCTACCTGGGGGCTTGAGCAAAGGCATCAGCTTGTGCTCAATAATGTTGTCAATGTCCACTTGTCCGTCCATGGTTGGTGGCAGCATTGAATCTTCTAGAGGGAAACTGATCTGTTTCAGCAAAAGGTGCCAACGTGGATGCATGAAAAACAGGGTGTGTGCGGAGGTGACGAGGGATTCGGATGACATGCGAGGGACCGTCCGGTTGGTCGCCCACTATCTCCAACACTTCCCAGGGCCCAAAGTACTGTGGCATCAGTTTTTGAGAAATACCCAATTCATGTCCCAATTCAGATGACTTAACCCATACACGTTCTCCTACCCGGAATGAAGATGGCTGTCATCGCCTATTCTCAGATGCAACCATGGCATCCTGTGATTTCTTTATGTGCTCGACAGCCTGCTGCAGCAGCTGTTCATAGTTGATAACGAAGTCCATGCTGCCTGGTGCTGAAGTGGGTTGATTCTCAGGCAACAGAAAATCAAGAGGTGAGTGGGGCTTCCGTCCGATATGCAGCTGGATGGGAGTCGTGCCGATAGTGCTGTGCACAGCATTGTTGTACAGGCTGGCGATGAGAGGTAACTTCTCATCCCAGTCACCTTGGCTTGGCTTGATATAGTGCCTCAGCAAGTGCTGTACTACACGGTTCATTTGCTCAGCTTGGCCATTGGTCTCAGGGTGATTCCCTGATGTCATTTGCAGTTGGGTCCCCATCTGCTGGGCTGTACTTTGCCACAACTCACTAGTGAACCTGATATTCCTGTCACTAAAGATGGACATCGGGAGACCAAACTCACGCACCAAATTATCCATAAACAGTCTGATGACGTAGTCAGTCTTAGCGGTCTCTGGCATAGCGATTAGTCTTAGCGTACTTGCTGAATTTGTCCACAATAACGAAGATGTGCTGTTTGCTGCTGTGGTCACGAGAGTATCCATGAAGTCCATGGACACACTTTGACCGGGGCCAGCAGGGATAGGCAAGGGCTTGATAAGCCCAAGCGGTGCCTGCTTCTGTGGTTTGTCACGCTCACAAACCTGGCACGTGTCTACATACTTCTTTGCATCTTCCATTACTGTGGGCCACCAAAATTTCTGCACTAAGTTCACAGCTGTGTTTTTATAGCCAAAATGTCAAGTTACATCATGACACTCACCTCAAAATACACTATGCAAAGACTCGCTAGATGGAACACACAATCGTTTATTCCCTGCCTTTTCGAGAAACAACAAGCCATTGACCAGCACAAACTCATCTAACATGGCCTTATCCTTGACTTCAAGTTTGCGCATGATCTCAGACATGATGTGGTCATCTCGATAGGCTCCCACCAAAGATCAAGATACATCGTCAGAAATACCGAACTTCGTCACTAGCACGCCCAGATAGTCTGCCCTACGTGATAGTGCGTCAACTACCTTGTTGTATTTTCCCTTTCAGGGGGTCGAGTTTGAAGTCATACATGTCTATGACTTCAATCCATCTCTTGAGTGCATTAGAGAGTACGGGTTGGGTCTTAATCCGGCGTAGAGTCTCATGGTCAGACCTCACATAGAAGAATTTGCCAAGGAGGTAGTGCCTCCAATGAATCAGCACTTTGTAGAGGGGATAGAGCTCTCGCTTATACATGGACTTAGCCAGTTTTTGAGATGGCATATTTTTGCTCATGTACTCAATCGGCCTTAACTTTTCTCCTGCCTTCTACGCAAGGACCGCGCCTATGCCATACTGGCTGGCGTTTGTGGTCACAATGAAAGGCAGCTCATGATCCGAAAGCTTGAGGACTTCATAGTGCGTGAGGGCATACTTCAACCTCTTGAAGGCTGCCTCACACTCTTCGGTCCTCCCATGAGGTGTCAAGGTGCGAGAGGTCAGTTAGTGGGAAAGCTATAGTACTATAGTTATTCACGAACGAACGATAGTAGCCCATCATCCCTAGAAAGGACCTCACCTCAGTCATAAACTGAGGTCTGGCCAGTTACGTATGTTGGCCACCTTGGTATCCTCCGGCCTCAATCCGTCTGCTGAAATTTCATGACCTAGATACAAGATCTTAATGTGACCAAACTCACATTTATCTAAGTTAACCTTGTACTGGTGCTATCTTAGGAGACCTAGCATTGTCTTAACATGCTCAGCGTGCTCCTCTACAGTCCTACTAAAGATAAGAATATCGTCGAGGTACACGACGATAACCTTGTCCAAGTAGTCGTGAAAAATCTTGTTCATCGCGTACGGGAAGGTCCCAGGAGCATTGCAACGTCCGAAAGGCATCACCACAAACTCGTACAGACCGTACCTTGTCTGGAAAGCGGTTTTGTGCTTTATGTAACGGTTTGAACGGAGTGAATGCCCGTTCGTGTTCAAAAGGGTCCATTCAACTCCCCAGGGACTCCGTTCAATTCCGTTCAATCCGTTTACGGGCCATGTGGTGAGAAGTAACTGAATGTGCGTCCGCCATCGGCACCCGCACGCGGGGGGTTACCATGGGGTGCGGCCCGTTCCACA